CTACTGTGACTGGGAAACCCAAGGTCAGCTACTCCAAAGAAAGCACTCTTCTGAGGGGAAACAACTAAGTTCAGGTGCTTAACCTTGAGGCTGGCTGTTTTTCTAGTTTTGCAGTATAAAGTGGCTGCTTTATATAAAATGAAATTACTTTGGCTTGTTACAGTTTGGGGGGGCTCCATTTGGGGCCATGACACCTTGCCCCACTGCATTCCCAGCACATTCTACAATTGATCTGAGAACTACTAAGTGAGATAAGACAGAATATCTAGTCACTGCCATCCAGACACTTGTCCTAAAGCTGTGTTGTTTTGTTATCTAGCAATAAATGTGAGGCAAACTCTTAGGTTGAAGCAGCTGTGATTTTCTTCTTTGTAGGTTCCCATCTCCCTCCAGGTGGACTCAAGCCCTCCCATGTTCTGATTGCGCTGTCTGTGACCACCATCCTTGCCTTTCTTGTCTGCTTCATTCATTGTTGGCACTCTACCCAAAAAAATAAGTCTCAGGAAGAAGCAGCCGGTGAGTATCGTGTGGGCAGCATGAGGAGCTGGGATGGGAGGAATGCAGGTGTGTGTTCTTCCTTTGCGAGAGGAGTTGGCCTGAGGCAGGGGATACTGAGGCAGGGCTTTCTAGAGAGACCACCAGAGCCCTTGCTCTTTCTCTCAGCTCTCAGATCCATGAGTAACTCTTCACTGTATCCAGTGTAGATAATGATATCTAGGAGAAGGGTCTGTAAAAGAGAGAATATTGGAGAAGCGATGGGATGGAAGAGCTGTGAGTAGAATGGGTCCTTGAACTTAGAGAAGCAGAGTATCTGGCTCTGCTCTGGGACATCTTAGCAACCTTGGGTCTTCCCATTTCTAGCACTGTGTTTGTTTAGTGCATCTCATATGAAATGAGAAGCCCAGAGTCCCTTCCCAGGTGTTTCTAGTCACTTCTGTCTCCTAAAGATGCAGCTATCACTATCACGGATCCAGATCCTGAGGTGGACAGAACGGTGACTAGACAGGTAGGACCTCTCCAGCCCACCATCTTCCATACAGAGTACTCCCTCACACTCTCCACAAGTATATGCATACAGCCTCACTCAACATTTACTTCTTCCCAGGATGCTGAAAGAAAAGAAACACAAGAGGTGGCCTACACAAACTTGGATCATTGTCTGGTCACACAGCAAACAATCACTCCCTCTTCCAAGAAGCCCAAGAAATCCTCCACAAGTATCAGTGTGTACATGGAAGTCATGAAATGCTAAGCTCAGGTCAAGGGTTATCTGCACCCTGTGAGCCTTCAACGAGCAGTCTGACGCAGCCTTCCATGGAGACCACAGGCTTTTCTCCAACACAGTTTGACAGGTGCAGTGTAACAGCTGGACTCTGAAGACAGAGGTTGATAACTTGGGTACTAGCCTTCATTTTCTCAATATAGTTCTGAACCGAGCCTTCTCTACACGTTTGTATGGCCATCATTGCCCACTGGAAAGAAACCAAACTCTATTGCTTAGTCTGTGAGTGACTATTTCACGTCACACCCTGCCAACCTCTACAACCTAACTAAATCTACTTTCTAGAACTCCTTGAATCTAAAACTATGTTGAGTAGCTCACAATTCCATACCAGAAGACGCCACCTCTTGTTATTAGTATATATTAGCTATACATAATCATGGCTCTCCTTGTAACATTTTCATGTATGTATATAATGTACTTTGATGATATTCACACCCAGTTACCCCCTTTTCCCCTACCACACCCACTGGTCCCCTTCAAGAGGCCCACTCTTAACTTTAGGCCTTAATACGTGTTCTTCCACATGGACCCAATGCTCTTTGTCAAAGTCTTCTCTCACCAGGAGCATCAACCTATTTTTACAGTTTTAATATAGACATCTCCTCTACTAAGAAGCACTCCCTAAGATCATGGCTGACATAAGGCACCTGTTTGTATAGTTACAAGGTTCCATTACTATACCTTTGGATAGTTATTTCTGGAAAGAAACTCATTAAGCGGCAGGAAGTAAGCAAAACCTCCCAGTCTCGGGAAGATCCTGAAACTGACAGCATTACCCAGGCCTTGTCCCCAAGGTTGTAGAAGCAGAAACAATTTCTGAGGAGAGAAAACCCTCCAACAAACCAATCTGCATGAAAGCCCTGCAGAGAGTACCACAGGTTCAGCTTCCCAGAGTCATCACCCATGCTGGGGTGGGCTTTTAGTGATGCAGCTGCCTCTGAGTCACCCGTGTTCCTGTAATCACCCCCTCACCTATAGCCCTGTATGAAATCCTAATAAATCTGCTGCTTCACTAACTACACTTGGGTGCTTGCCTCTTTGGTCCCTCACTGGTGCCCCATCTGGGATGAATATGTTTGCTCACATCTTCCCCAGGACAAGTCACACACTATATGTGCACACTACCCCATATGCTCACCTTTGCATTCTTCTGCCTGGACTGTGAGCTCCTTCTTTGTCTGTCTGGAGTTTTGAAACAAGGCCTTGCTTGGGCACCTTCCAACTTGTGATCTTTCCTCTTCAGCCTCCCAGTGTTACAGAAAAATTCCAAGGCTGACGTGGCTCAGCAAGAAATCACAAACCATACTCAGGACATGGAGGAATTTTATCATTTATTATATCTGGGCCCCAGAGAAACTGAGGTCCAGACCAGAAGTAAAAGTTTTTAAAGGATTTTTCACATCATCATTGCTGATAATCAACATGTAGGTTTGAGACTTCCACCACAAAAGTGTATATGTCTCTTGGGCTATTATAGGAAATTTAAAACAGTGTCTTTACAGAAGAACAGATATTTGGGGCAAGTGTAATATTTCCCAGTAACATCATAAATTGCTGGTGCTGATAAAATATTATTTAACAAATATGACATTATTTAATAAAAAAGACACATTACACCAGGTGCTCCCTCAAGACCACTGCAAGGTGTAGCACTGTTCAAGGCACTCACAGACTGAGGTTTTGTGGGTTTGTCCATCTTATCTTAAGGCTTAGAGTGGGCAGTTCTTCCTTCTGACAGCTTTTAAACACAGAGGCTTACAAGGCTAAAACCTCAAAATGTTTTTACAAAGTTC